AAATGTAACAACTAGTTAGAGTTAAAAGTTAATTTTACCATTAATTGATTATGACCTATTCACCTTGAATTAACACAGTCTAACGGAACTCTGCTTAAAATGCATTTTATCTATAGCTTTTTCTAATGTTAAAATAGAAGTTTATGAACTGTATGTGAGAACATTTTCAATTGCATAGAAGTTAATCAATAGGCTTTGATCACTGAGGCTATGCATTTGTTGTTACCATGACGTTTAAGGGTTTTGGCCGTGAGCCCCTCACGTGGTGGACAGTGTACAAACAAAAGCGCGAAATCAATTGAAGTAAGAATTTTTGAGACCTTGACTTCGTGTTCTCTCCCTCCTCCCTCTCTCTCTATCTTCTGGTTTCCCTACGCCAAATTATTTAATCAATTTGATGATAGCCGATATCATTTTCGTTCACACACAGTGATTTATGTCAAGTCAGTAAAGCATAAAGGACAGAAAGCCCAATAACTTTTATTCAACCACTTTACTCCATCGGTATACTTGCAGGTTTTAATGACAGAATAGCAGCCAAATTAAAAAAATAGAGTAGTAATGAAATATCCCATGAAAAATGGTTGGATTTGGGAGTAATTTTACTAATGAATTTATAGCTTATAGATTAGATTGTCCACTTTTGTACTTCTACTAAATTTTTAACCTCGAACATTTATGTTCGAGATAATTTAAAGCACAGTGAATAATTGTTCGCTTTTTTATTGTTGTAGTTAAATGATGGTAGGTGTAATTAAAAAGAGGCTTTTTGTTCATCGCATGAACACTGCAAATACCACGGCGCTCAACAGTTGTTTCAATCCCCGAAAATAATTCACACAAATCCAGGAAAGAATACAAAAAGGCGGGATCCACTGAGATCAATCCAGTTTCAGTTGTACACATTGATGGGTGATTGTTTGGAATGATGGAATTTCAGGCAGAAACTAAAATCCCACATAATTAAATGCTGAAATTGTCTCAAATTTGGGGCATTTCAGGTTAGGGTCAGTTGAAAATGGCAGAACTAGGCGGAGTTCACTCAGGTAGAAAAGAAACGATAATTGAAATCATCAATGGACTCTGGTAAGCAGTGTTGACAAAATACGGAGCCCTTTGGACACTTTTTTTATAGAAGAGAAAAAATTTGAGAAAGAAAGACAATGGGACAATTGAAAAATTTTGATTTATTCCTCCCGAACTGAAAAACGCAAGCAGCCCGGAATTGGGGACCGATGAAGCAATTTCCCGAACATTACAAAGTATGCTGCTTGCTGTTCATAAACCACAATAATAAATGTCCTAAAGGTATGCACAATTTTTTGTTTCTTGATAAAATGCCCACCTATCAATGAAGTTCGCTTATCGATAAAACACGAGATTCAACACGAATGAAAAAGAATGGACATTATTGAAAAAAGAGAACATTGTTATTGAAATCAGCTAATTCACATCGGTTATAGAGCCTTTCAAGTATGCATTTTTATAGTGCATGAGCTATAATTAGTACGTACGCTTCTTGGCTCTATGTGGTTGAGAATGGGAGCCCCTTTTGAACCTGAACTTGCATTTTAATAACCTTGAATTGTAATCCAGCTCTAATTCGATTCAGTGAAGATGGTATGCAGGCTTACATGAACGCACTAAGCAAAAGACCTTGTCGAGACTAATGCTAGTTCGAGGGACAAACGACAGACAATGCGGTTCCTTTATCAAAATTTTAAGAATTACGAGTGGAGTAAGTTGTAGTTCG